GCTGTTGAACCACAGCAATCATGATCGTAAAGGACGGTTCACTCTTACCAAAATATACAAACGACCTACAGCGAGCCAATTTAAACATTTACCAGAAGGTAGAACATCTTAGAACAGGCTCTTTTGTAGCATGTCTTGTAAATTCTGCAAGTTTGGGAGAGTGGTATGTTGCCTCTTAGAAACATAAAAAGTGTCAGCCCATCAATATTTGTCGGAGCACAGAGGAAGCAAGTGTGTAAAAAGATGCGTCGACCTTCCATGCATGTCTCAACAATTTTCAGAATTAGCTTGTCAGTGAGTGACGATATGAAAATATCTTTCGAGTGCACTCTGCATGTGGAAGTGAACTTAAAATGTTCCCTTCGCATGGACGTTAAACAAATTCGTCACAAGACAACAGGCGATGAAAAACTACATGACGCCAGTTGTAGTAGCACTGAAGGACAACAGATACATCTGCGGTACCATCGAGCAATTAGCAAAAGCTAGACAGAAATGAAGAAACTTCGTTAGTCCTAAACGGCAACAGGTGTATTCGTCACTTAGTCAACATCATTTGTCATGAGTTTCCCTCGAGCTTATTTCATTAGTTCCTTTGAAATCAAGTTAATTCAAAACAGGCCTCATTTGCGAGAATTTCCAAAAACAAAATAACCAATATTATCACTCTTACGTCATGTCAATATTCTAGGTAATTCACAGAGGCAGTTTATAACACATATCACATGGCAAGTTCTCTCATCTTGTGCAAATAAAAAGTGGAAAACATGTCGACATTCTATGGTTTATTGTCAATACATAATTCAAATAGATGCGTCATTAATTTTACCATCAATATACAAGACGATGTGTATAACTACAATTTATATTAAATATCAAAATATATGGAAGGCACACTGGAACAGTGAAATATCAAACGCACATTATTTGCTGTGAACATTATTTATTACATCATTTCTCGAACTGACCCAGAAATATATTTTGTGGACCGAAGTATTCATTCCAACACCGTCAACGTGTAAATACATGAACTAGGGGAAACCATGACAATCCATTTCAAAACTGATGCATTTGTACGAAATTATAAAACGACTCATGATATTAGCAAATCGTAATACTTTCTTTCATCAAATAAAATATGGTGTATATAAATAAATCGATATATTGATGTGATATCATGGCACAATCTGAATCTAATTGCAAATTTGTTAATATTAAAACAAAATGAACACAGCTGTAACAATACTTGTCTTTGAAACATTTGATCAACTAAAATATCCTTTGTACGTTACACTCTTACAAATAATCCTTACTACCGCGATTGCCCTATGCAGCAGTTTTGTTTGAAAATAGTAACAACATCCTTTGTGAAAAATGACATTGCTTTTCCATAAACTAACTGGCCAAAGTAGTCGATTAAATCTCATACCTGAATTTGAATCTAGGTTACAGTGAATACATGTTACTGAGGTTATTTTTCACATATGTATTACAAAATCATATTTCGTGGCACTGATTTGGTATCTTTTGGGGGGAAAACAAATTTTACGGTAACCAATATTCTGATAAAAGCATATATACAAATGACTGTAAACTTGCGAACCATTTCTACTTGCTACAGAGGTATTTCGACAGAGTTGCCCTCCAGAATGATGGCCATTTCAGTGTCATGATATTTTGTACTAATACTTAATGTATGATTGTGATTGAAAATGTAAAATAACATTAATTTTGATAGATAAAATGTATTAACCTAAATACTTATTAATAACATTTAAGCACTATAACTAAAACAAATGATCGTACTAGCATTATACAATATAAAATGGTACAATGTATTTTAAGTCATATCCACAAGCAAAAGCGAATTATAACCTGTATGTTCATTTCTAATAACGAATACTTATGTATTCGGTTGCTCTTTTCAAAAGAGGGAAATTTCCGTCCCTTTATTAACATTTTACTTACAAATAGCGAAAATAGTTTGAAGGGTAAGAGACGGCGAAACCAGTTTTGAAGAGGACTAAGCACTAAACTTTCGATATTGTTTGTTTGTATTTAACTCTTTCCAAAACAAAATATTGAAGAACAGTGCCATACGAAACACGAGTATCAAACCAACACTTTGCAACGATCAGCTGTGTGGTTTACTTATACAAAGTACACTGATTTGAAGATTGATTTTATCGAAAGATTTCCCCGTTATTATTCACAATAGGTTTTGATACATGTTTAAAGAAATACATTCGTTGCTTGTTCAATACTCATGATTTGTTAGCGATCACCGAAAATATTTACTTGTGAAATGTTATTACCTTACATAAATCTATATCTATGTACATTTTAGAATCATTTAGTTAATTATCCAGTATTTTGTATTCTCACCATCCATTCGTGACAGCAAACGCCACAGCAAACATGAACTTTACTGACACAAGATCAAAACATTTATGTTTTATACTGTTTGCCCGGAAGTGTAATTGATCTTTGTCTTTGGTTAACTCAGTGTTTTCGGCCATTCCTCAATCAAATTTGAGCTTGGGAAATCCAGTACAATTACTGTAGACCGTATACAGTCAAATTTCGCCCTATTCCGATAAAATCAATATTCGCGCGGTGTAAATTTCGCCTGTTACATGTTATTACAATATAATTGTAATTAATATATTTTTGGGAATACGTTACACAATATATCAATACCACCTAACTTTTGGAAATATACATGTATCAAAAAAATATGTCTTGCTTATAACATACACCGTTGATGCATGATATGTTGTGTATACTTCTTCTAACAAATATACTATGTAAATCTACCACTAGTTTGTGTCTTAATGTAAAACTTCTAAAATAAATATGATACAAACTTCATGATACCCCTCTCCCGAAAAAATATATACAAAATTGCTTAACAATAACACAACAATCTACATTCTTTATGTTGAAAATTGTTCGACCTGCTCAATTCAGAAACTATCCCGAAATACATAACATCAAATAAATAACCACATCATTAACAAATAATTTCAACTAATAACACCTCTGTATACTAAAATATTATACTCAGATGAAAAGTCTGAATATTTGTATGACAAAGTATGTCCAGCATAAGATATGCTGTCGTGAGATTTGTTTCACAGTTGTTCTTCATTAAATTTCATTAAGTTGTTTAAAGAGCAGAATTGGTGCAAGCAAAAATAAAAACGGCTTCAAAAGATATTTTAACAATACTCTAAAAATTAAATAACACTGAAAAATGGTATAAAGCAATGTACATGCATCAGATGAATAATATACGTTAAAACACATATGGATTGCATTTTTTTATCCACTAAAGAATACATATGTTGTACCAGGCAAATACAAAACAACGCAAAGTGGAGAATTTCTTTCGTGGTGGTTTGATGCAAACAATAAAAATTCATTAAACACAACCAAGATGTGTAAAAGAAACAAGCAAGCTTGTTTTTTAATTGTATATCGTGTATAAATCAGCATAATCTTATCCCTTTAACGACAGAAATTGTTAGTTTTATTACCGTTTGATACAACAGTCAGTTTAAATCGCTCATTCTCATAATTCCAGGGGATATGCTCACTTACGTTCTCTGCACCCCTGGTACATGTCAGGCTGTGTACGCATCACCTTGTGGATGATACAGTTAGACTAGTTTGATCCTTTGAGGTACACCAAACTAATCGCAGGGTGCAGAATGTGTTGTGTACTTATTCAGTCACATGTTGAAGACAGTTGAATAACTGTTAAAAATATTCCTTGATTTTGATGAATGAAATTCCGATAATTTTACAATGAAAGTAGTATCCCTATAGTATTCCTGACATAAACTTTATTATTTATGTTTATATCATCTTCAATGGGAAAATATGTTACCGAGGTGACAAAACTAATCACCAATGGCAGATCAAAGGAGGTTCCACAAGTAAAATTGACTATAACATCACAATTCAAATTATACAGCTTTCTTCTGCATTTTTTGCAATACGATTTGTAACATTTTCCTGTTATATCTCAACACCAATGCATTATGACGTCAGAATGAAAACAATGCAAAACGTTTCATGATAATGTGACGTTGCATTGAAGACAATATTATAAATTGTAGCGGAAAGGTCACCCCAAAGCTTAACTTATAGCTGGACAGAGCCCTACTTCACTGAAACATTCTAGAGTTGTTTCACAAATCTTATATGATTTAGAACTGAAGAAAACAAAAATAGTCTCAGACCTATTGATTTGGACCATAATGCTTTCAGTTAAGCCATTATCATCTTACATTTTACTTATAAATAAATAAATGAATGAACGATACGGTTTTGGGGTAAAAGATGAGAACCCTTTGATTTTTACCTAGATTTGTCTTATACTAATCAATGCAAACAGATGTTACTGGCTAAGCTCATATAATCAGAATGGAATTCTGAGGCACATCAAACAACAACGAGATTGCTTTATAATGTCAATAATAAGTTCTTCCTGAGAAATAGTACTTAAAAACCTTCACTGTCAAAATCCAAAATGGTCCCTATCGGCCATTTTGTTTATCTGATCAGTCTTAAAAGTAAACATGCACAATTGCAGACCAAGGGTTTACTACTTGTCAAATATGAGAAAGATCTCTCCAGTACTTCCTGAGAAATAGCGATAACAAACCTTCAATGTCAAAATCCAAAATGGCTGCCTGTCGGCAATTTCGTTTATCCAATTAGTCTCAAAAGTAAACATGCACAACTACAGACCAATGGAAACTTACTTGTCAAATATGAGAAAGATCTCTCCAGTACTTCCTGACAAATAGCGATAACAAACCTTCACTGTCAAAATCCAAGATGGCTGCTTGTTGGCCATTTTGTTTATCTGATCAGTCTCAAAATTAAACATGCACAACTAGGGACCAAGTGGAACCTGCATATACAATTTGAAAAAGATCCCTCTAATTCTTCTTGAGAAATAGCAATAACAAGTATTGTTTAAGGACGGAAGATGGACAGACAACGGACGATTTGAATAGCCCACTATCAGATGATGGAAAGCTAAAAATTGAAAATACTAGACAAGAAATATTAATGAAGTCCATGGTAACATTATCTTTGTCTACCATGTATAATTGAAATGTGAAACGTTGTGTAATATGTACATTTTTGAATTTCATTCAAGGACTTATGGACAAAAATTGACAAAAAAAAAGGATATCTGAACTGATATCATAAGACTTGCAGATTAACAGAACGAGTATGTTTTACTGAAGAATTGCTAGGTCTGTAATTCACCAATGAAAATATTATTAATATAAAGAAAAAAGTGACAAAATGCAAGCAAGTAAATGTGCCATCTTATTGTCAAGGCTGCCATAGTTTCATACACAAAATGATAATTACCTCTCAATAAATAATTTATGAAATATCCACATGCTTTAACATTTAAATTAATCAGTATTGCTTTGCACCATTTGCAGACCTATACAAATATGTAAATTCTATAATAACAAGTCCAGAGGGCCTGCAACACTCACCTGGACTGTTTAATATCATGCATAAAACTTTCCATATCGTTTGCCGACTAAATGACAGTGAAATGTCAAATAGACATTCTACAACATGTAACATTTTTAACAAACTAGACTCCTGTGACCTTGTAAGTAGGTCAAGGGAATTTATAAGAGAAAATTGAATTTGTACTACAAAGAGCCTACTTGCAAATATTATGCCCCTAGGCTTTCTCAACTTAACAAGTTGAACATATATCGCTGGGCTTTTAACCCTTACGATAGTCATGATAACATTTTACCCAAGAAAGCTGTTAAGATGTTTCAAGTTTTACGGCTCTAGACCTCAGGACCTTTGAGATAATAATGTTGGAGGTTTTAATCATATTTGACCCCTGTGACGTTAAAAAAAGGTAAAGATAATTGATTTGAGGAAAATTTATTGCAATGCATCCCAACTAGTGTCTGGTCAAATGTCATCAACCTGGGTCTTTGCTTTCTTTAGGGTAATGCTGTGCACAGAAAGTTGACAGATGGACGCCTCACCATACCATAAGCTCACTGGCACTCTAAGCCAAGAGAGAAAAAACTTCAGATTTAGCCCTTGTATACTAAAACAATAAGCACCTTTCAAAGTTTAATGATAGGATCCTCTTTCAAAATGGCCACGAGGATCATGGTTGCTACGAAGATCTTGCTGTCGGAAGTCTGGTGGATACCAAGAATCCCTACCACCTGGGGCTCCATAGTCCCTTTTCTCTCTACCTGGGGGTTCCATAGGATCCCTACTTGGAGGTGGGCCATGTTCTCTAGGGTCCCTACTTGGAAAAGACTCTCCTGAGTCCCTAGGATCTCTTGGATCTCTACCACTAGGAGATCCAAGCTCCCTTGGGTCCCTAGCAGGAGGTCCAACTTGATCCCTGATGTTGTGATTGTCTCTTGGGTCCCGATTGGCTACTCTTGGGTCAAGACTACTGTTGGACTCCCTAGTAAGACTGGATTCCCTTGATTGTGTGATAGGATCTCTGCCTTCTCTTGTACCACTGCCCTCCCGGCGATCCTGGTTATTATGCGTCCGTTCCCTTTGATCCCTAGTTGTACCTCTGTCCCTAGAGTCCCTTTGATACCGGGGGTCAGAATACTTACTGGGCTGTGACCCTCTTGATCCCTGCGAGTCTCTTGAATCATTTAAGTTCCTAGGGTCAGTGTAATTCCTTCTGTCTTGTTTACTGTGTTTTGGGTCAGGGTACATTTTGTGTGGTCCAGGCGGTGGAATTCTGTCAGTGTTTGGATGGAAAGGAGGCTGATTAACTGAGAACATGTGTGGTGATGGCTGATGAGAACGCTCTGTGTAATGCTGGTATGGAGGAAGAGGTCGTTCATGAAGCTGTGTAGGTGGGGGTGGGGGAGGGGGTGGCTGATACTGTTGGGGGCGAGGTACAGCCTGGGCGTGGACAGTATGGGTAGTACCCGGATAAGGCACAGTATTTAATCCATCCTGGGGACTGTGATAAGTGGGAAACTGCTTAGGTGAACTGCTGACTGCCCTATCAAACGTGACAGATGTATAGGGTGGCGCTGACTGAGGTGGGGTGAAGTTTGGTGAAGGTAAAGCCTGAATATGAGATGGAGGAGGTGGAGTGGAGGAATGTGCAGACGGAGGAGACCTAACGAGAGGAGGTTTCGGCTGTGACACAGGTAATGAGGATGGGGGTTTTGGGGGTTGTCTGTGGCTAGGGGGTAGGGGAGGGGGATTTGAGGCCTGTCTTGGGGGGAGATTTTCATACACATGCTGTTGGGTCTGAGGTGTGTCTTGATCTGAAGCTCGATCAGGTCCAACATCTCCTAGTTTTCTCCACACCACCTGCAAATATATAAAACCACCTGTTAATATAGATCATAAAAAATCCAATCACTTTTAATACACACTTAAAAATTGACATTTCTTGAAGACATATCTTTCAGCTTAAATTTTGTTCAAAAGCATGGCATTCATTTGACATTCTTTCTGATGATTAAGAGTCCCTGACCTTACTTATAACATTGGCTACACACTTTAACAATCCTGACTTACATTACACATTTCCCTAACAATAGCCTTCTCTGAGTCTCCTAAGTTCTCCTCCCCAACATCAGTCTGGGGCCTCTCCAACTGTTCGTGTACCTCCAACACCTAAACATAAAAGGAACTGAACTGACTACCAATTACAATATTTTTATCTATATCACGTAATCAATCTATTATCAATTACAATCTTTTTATTTATATGTAGATTCTAATACATTTTAGAGGTAACACAGAATTTAAATGTCAATCAAATTCATTTGCAATAGTATAACCACGATATAAATGAAGCCTGGATGGCTATTGACAATGAGATAAATTACCCTGACTGTCAGGACTCGCATTAACAATCACCCAGTCGCCAAATGGCAACACTTTTTCAGATTGGGTGACAAAAAATTCAGTTTGGCGATATTTTTGGCGACACAATTTTTACCTTCTCTAAAATGATTAAAATTGATCATCTGTGGTCATGACTGCTGATTTGTCAGTATTGATCATCTGTGGCGGTCATAACTGCTGATTTGTCAGTATTTATCATCTGTGGTGGTCATAACTGCTGATTTGTCAGTGACATGTCATGAAATTCATTAATAATGTCCCAAACAATAGCAAGGCCCCAAAAGGTCATTGTAATTCTGCCTCACTTCGAATATTCATGATGTCATCAATCCATGGCTGATTGACCCAGATTTTGAAGAGAACTCTGATATACCTTCACAAATCCTAAATCACAGTAGGATTATAACCACTCTTATTCATATAAGCAAAAATAACTGAAAGAAATGGTGATTTTTGGATATTTTTGCTTATATGAATAAGAGTGGGGATAATCCTACTGTAATTCAGGATTTGTGAAGGTATATCATGGTTATAGTGTCGCATATATCTGTTCTACTGGATCTGCTCTGTGTTACCAGTAAAACTCAACTTGCAACAGTGTAATCAAGATGTACTGTTACAAATCTCATAAATACAGTAGGGTCATTCCCCACTTGAACATTGTCTCGTCTAGGTTGTTATATCATGAAAGGCATAACTAAAACCTACCTTCATAGCTCTGACCACCGCCTCTGGTTTGGTAGGACTCTCAGATAACCTTGATCCCTTGACCTGTTGAACATTGTTGCTGTATCCCTCCAACAAATTCCCAACTGGTGCAGTTCTCTGCTTGGAGGGACTCGGACTCTGGTCGACAGAATTAAATTAAAATTGTATAATCAATAAACATACCATTATCACATTTGTAATAAGGCCAAAACATACTTGCCAACTCTCCTAATTTAGGAGGCGAGATTCCCGATTTTGGACCCTAAAATTGAGCATTATCAACTAGCGAATTTGCTACACTATTTCCTTTTTTTTTAAGACTTGATGATTTCATCTGAATGAACAGCTCAAAGGATGCAATTTAAAAGTGTAATTTTCCCCCTAGGGTGTACATACACACATTATATTTATGTACATATAAATATATGTATATAATTTCTAAGCATGCGTAATCTCCCCCATGGAAATTTAAAAATGTTTTCAAGCATGCCAAAATGAAATTACTTGTGTGTCTCAAGCAATTTACAGAGAAAAAGTGTTGTTCATGCTTTACTCGTCTTGCTTAGTTGCTACAAGTATATATTTGATCATTTAGAGTGGGTATATTACATAGGGTGCCTATAATGACCAGATTTTCTTTACAGCACATCTGTGATGAACAGGTACAGTCTTTACCTCACTTAAACAGGTCATAATTATAATTGCGGTTTAACTCGGATTACCTTGTCAGATCTGTGATCTTTAGAGGTGGCTGGAGATTTCCTATCTGTTGCTCTGTATCCATCACCAATATTTCTTTCTGCCCTCTGTTCAAATAGAAAATAAAAAACAAATACAAGAAGTGTATAAATATTTTCTGGACCCGATATTGTAAGTTATTTTCAGGCAAGTCATGAACATTGTTTTTAAAATATAAATGTTTCTAGTATATATTGTGTGGCAGCCTAACAGGAAAAGCACTACTCCAAGACCTCAAATATCTACATCGCCAAACACCATTGTTCTATCAACAGATAATTTTCAATCGGCAGTCAAATGATACATGGCGCATTAATTTGTTCCATGGACTCGTATTATAAAACCACAGTTGGGACAAAACTGATTTTTGAAACACCTATCACAAAACTCTTTATAAAACAACATACCTTGAAGCACCTATCACAGAACTCTTTATAAAATAACATACCTTGAAGCAACTATCACAGAACTCTTTAAAAAACAACATACCAAAGCATCTATCACAGAACTCTTTATAAAACAACATACCAAAGCATCTATCACAGAACTCTTTATAAAACAACATAC